GAAAACCACAAGCTATCGAAATGTCTAACTTCCTTCAAGTCCCTACAGGCTCTTCAATGAGTTTCCTGAGACATTCAGACCTGTCTCACACCTCCACCGCCCCTGCCACTTATGACTGAGCCTGCTCACAGGTTTCAACCAGGAGATCTAGTATGGGTCCGTCGCCTGCCCAGCCGGACCTTAGAGCCCTCCTGGAAAGGACGGTATCCTGTGCTCCTGACCACACCCACACACACAGTAGCAGGGATGGAACCTGGATTCACCGTTCTCACCTGAAGGCGGACACGACCAATCAAGAGAAGAGAGAAAAATGGAAAGTACCAACAGACCCACAGTGTCCCTTAAAGATGTGGTTCATTCGAACCTTAGACTCAAATTAGTATTAATATTGGGAAACTAGTTGGTATGTGTCACATATGGCCACCTAGAAATGTCAAGACCTGGGATTGGGAGCTAACCTGCACTTTGGATGGAAAAATGATAGGCATCTTCCGAAATGCCACCTCCCGAGATTGTATTCCAGGGAAGTGGAACCCTTTCACTCTAAGGGTTATGGCATGGAATGAGTTAAGTGCTCAACATTGGCTTACTGGCAGAACCTGGGGCCTTAAACTAACATCTAAAACATATGGAAATGACCTTGGTGTGGAATTTACTATTCAGAGGAAAGTATCTGCCTACAGAGCTCAAATTTAGGGCTGGTTATCCACTCTGCTCAGCAAACACCTGTCAGCACCACTGACGCCAGTTCTTTGCCCTTACAAACTTTACCCCATGGCAAGGAATAGTCCCAGCCTCAGATGAAATATCTGAGATTGAGACCTTAAGGTTAATTCCCCAGCTACTCTTCTACCCCTTTTAATGGGAACCAGCATTGCAGGATCTGCTGCTTTGGGAGTTTTGGCTTTGGCTCTGGGGGATCAGAACTTTAAGAAAGGACAATTGGAAAACAAGTAGACGCCCCAGCAGAAATGGCTTTGCAGAACCGTAGGGGGCTGGACCTGTTGTTCTTAAAGGAAGAAGGTCTTTGTGTAGCTTTAGATAAAAAGTGCTGTTTTTATGCAAATAATTCAGGAATGATTAAAGAAACTCTAGCTTTAATAAAACAAAACCTAGATCAAAGAGCCAAATGAGCTAAGGCTCCAAATTGGTATGGCTCCCTCTTCTCCTGGTCTCCATGGCTAACTACTCTCTTAACAGCAATTGTGGGCCCCGTGTTCCTATTACTTTTAGGTGTTACTGTGGGCCCTTGCATCTTAAATTGGTTACGGGGATATATTAGGAAGAGAATCAGCTCTGTCAAAATATTAGCATTACAGGCTCGATACCAACCTATAACAAATATGGATCAATGATTTGATCCGTATGAACCAGAGCCAGTGAGGAATGTACTGACCAAACTGACCCCATTTTGGATAAAGTAGCCATCTTAGGAGCTTCGCCATAGTGTATTTCTAGCTCAAGGATTGTTTTCAGAAACCCTGACCCCGTTCCCCCTTTTCCTCCAAGGAGGACGCTGCCGCCATCACTTGCTCTCTAGACATATAGAAAACAAAATTATTATGATATGACAAACAGCATGCTGATTCTGGCTTCTATAACTTGCTTGTTTTGCTATTTTAGGGCAACTTGACATGTAGACTGAGATTGCCCTCTACCCTGTTATTCATGGACCACCTTGTCAACATTTCTTTTTGAGGTTTTTAGCTTTAAAAGGTCCCTTTCCCTCTCCCTCCACACTGCAGCACTCTAATCCGATACCATGACTGCAGTCCAAGCTAGCTTGAATAAAATCTTCTATCTTGATCTGAATTGAGTCTGGTGGTCTTTCCTCAGTAGTCCCGGCGTCCATAACACAGGAAGGACCAGACACAACAGGACTGCTGCACTAATGAACTCACAGTAGCTGTGGCTGCCTGTACAAGAACTGTATAAGATCAAGTCAGTAAGCATTCTAGCATGGAGTGGCTCATGAGCCCCCCACCCTTAGCTGAGGAGTTATTGATGGTTGATGGCTTCTCAGGGAGGGAGATCAGTTTTCTTCAAGAACATGGAAACTGGTAGATTGACTGCCACCACACTCCTGTGGATTGAGTTGGTTATTTTATTTATTTATTTATTTTGTCTTTTTGAGACAGGGTCTCTGTGTAGCCCCAGCTGTTCTGGAACTCTCTATAGACCAGGCTGGCCTCAGAATCAGAGATCCACCTGCCTGTGCCTCCCAAGGCTGGGACTAAAGGCATGAGCCACCACGCCCAGCAAGTAGGTTATTTTAAAAAAAGAAAAAGGGGGCTGGAGAGATGGCTCAGCGGTTGCTCAGCGGTTAAGAACACTGGCTGTTCTTGCAGAAGACCTGGGTTCGAATCCCAGCACCCACATGGCAACTAACAACTGTCCATAACTCCAGTCCCAGGGGATCCGACAGCCTCTTCTGACCTCTGTGGGCATTGCATGACATGGGTGCACTTACCTACGTGCAGGCAATACATGCATACACATAAAATTTTTAAAAATAAAATTATTTTTTAAAGTTAAAAAAAAAGAAAAAAGAACACAAAGTTAGGAGGGTACAGGGATGGGGTAGATGTGGGAGGAGTTGGGGGAGGAGTGAGGAGTGAATAGTGCATTGTATGCATATATGAAGTTCTCAAGGAATAAAATACTGTATTTTTTTAATATTTTATTTTTATTATTTTTATTTTATGTGTATGCATGTATTGCCTGCGTGTATTTACGTGCACCCATGTCGTGCAGTGCTCGCAGAGGACAGAGAGACTGTCAGATACCCTGGAAGCTGCCATGTGGGTGCTGAGATTTGAACCTGGGTCTTCTGCAAGAACAATCAGTGTTCTTAACCACTGAGCCATCTCTCCAGCCCCAAAATACTGTATTCTTCTTTTTGTTGTTGTTTTGGTCTTTTTTTGAGACAGGGTCTCTCTGTAGCCCCAGCTGTCCTGGAACTCACTATGTAGACCAGGCTGGCCTCGAACTCACAGAGATCCACCTGCCTCTGCCTCCCAAGTGCTGGGATTAAAGGCGTGCGCCTCCATGCCCGGCCAGTACTGTATTCTTGAAAGCACAGCTAGAGTGACTTTCTTTTTTAATTATTTATTTTTATTTTGCCTGTATGAGTATTTTGCCTCCATGTGTACCATGTGCATGCAGTGTTGACAGAGGCCAGAAGAGGGCACCAGATCCCCTGGAACTGGAGTTAAGGATGCTCCTTAGGCACCATATGGATGCTGGGAATCAAACCTGGGTCCTCTGCAAGAGCAGCCAGAGTTCCCAAACAGAATCATTTCTCCAGCTCCCTAGAATGACTTTCAAGAATCCTGCGCTCATTCTTGGGTGTGTATGGTCCCTTTCCTAAATACCTCACTCCCCAAATGTCTGTACCAAAACCTGTATTAAATCTTTTACTAACTAACTCCCACTCTGCTTCACTGAAAAAACAAAACTCCACATAGCTACAATACATGGGAGTCTAAGGTCACATACAGAGGAAAGAACACTCCACCATGTTACATGCATGTGTGGGAAGGCACCAAGTAGCAATGCACACTAACAAGCTCAACCGATTAATTCAATGATGCTCCAAACCCCCAGATATATGACGGACACTTGAAAGTGAACCCACTCTAGTGCTTAAGTGTCAAAAGTCAGTCTACGTGCCTACTCTAAGTGTTTCAATACTTGGCCCCAGTGGGTTGGCGCTATTCACAGAGGTTTAGGAAGTGCAGCCTTGCTGGAGGAAGCCTGTCACCGGGGCTGGGTTTTGAGAGTTCATAGCCTTGTCTCATTTCCAGTCTGTCTCTCAGTTTCCTGTGCCTATTTGAAGATGTGAACTCTCAACTTTCTGTTCCACCTCCTGCCATGCTTCCCTGCCATGATGGACCCTTATCCCTCTGGAACCGTAAGCCCAATAAACCTGTCCTTCTACAAGTTACCTTGTTCATGGTGTTTTATCACAACAAAAAAGTAATATACCACATAAAGCCAGATGCAGGAATGCATATCTGTAATCCCAGCATGTCTACAGCAGGACGGGAGACAGAGACAGGAGAATCCTCTGAAGCTTACAGACCAGCTACCCTGTCCTACTCAGAAGTGACCAGCAGGAGGTCCTATCTTCAAACCAAGGAAGAAGGCCAGGAACAAAACCTGAGGTAGTCCTCTGCCTTCTAAACACAAGCCTGTGCACACCCACATGCACATGAACACATAATAATAATAATAATAATAATAATAATAGGGCTGGAGAGATGGCTCAGTGGTTAAGAACACTGGCTGTTCTTGCAGAAGACCTAGGTTCAAATCCCAGCACCCACATGGCAGCTAACAACTGTCTGTAACTCCAGTTCCAGGGGATCCGACAGCCTCTTCTGTGCACCGCAGGCAATACATACATATACATAAAATAAAAATAATAAATAAAATATTTTTAAATAATAATAAATAATGATAATAGGCTAGAGAAATGGCTCAATGGTTAAGAGCACTGGCTTATTCTTATAGAAGACCTAGGTTTGATTCCCAGCACCCACATACCCACATAGTGGCTAACAACCATCCATAATTCCAGTTCCAGGGGATCCAAAGCCCTCTTCTGTCCTCTGTAGGCACTGCATGACATGGGTACATTTACACACATGCAGGCAAAACACTCATACACATAAAATAAAAATAAATAAATTAGATGATGATGATGATGGATGATGATGATAGGCAGAGATTGAGGAAGATGCCTGATGTCAACCTCTGCTTACACATACACACAAACACACACACACACACAGAAAGTACAGTGTGTGTGTAGGAACTCTGGTGTTGAATTCATGTCTGGAAGGGAAATCAGGGCAGAGGAAGAGCCATGTTGCATTTGGAAAATGAATTCTAATGTATGATAAAAATGACAACAATCTCAATAGTTGATCTCTACACAACTGTGGTCTTTCCCCTGTATTCAGGGCTTTAGTGCAGAAAGCCATTCTGAGTGGTACCTGATACTCAGTGCTGTCTCCATCTCTGCTTTCTGTATCCACCTGTGTGGAGTCCATGCTCTCCTGCTGGCTGTCCTCGTCTAGGTCAACATAAACTGTCCTGCTGCTCCCAGGTGTCACTTCTTCATCTGTGAGGTCGATGGTGGGGTAGGGGCTGGAAGGGGATGGCCACAGCATGCCTGCTGATGTTCTTGCCCTCCGCCTCATGGACTGTAGACAGAAGGATACAGTCAAGCCACGGCAAAGCAAAGTAGGTGGAGATGCATAGGAACAGCCTCCCCCAAGGGATTTCCACACGAGCAAGTATGAAGAAACAAATCTAGACCCTGGAAGAGAGTTTTATAGGATCAAGAGGTGGCAGCCACTTAACCCCACCCCAAGGTAGAGCAGACACAGAAGAGGGATGTGAGTGCAATGACAGGTAAATGCTCAGGGCAGAAGCGGAGCTCAGAGAGGGTGGGATCCCTGGTTAACTGTCTCTTGTACATCTGGAAGCAGAAGAAGCAGGGTGTGCTGGACCTGTGGAGGTTGCCTCAGGACAGCCAGAGAGACACTACAGAGAAGAGTGAAGTCAGTGGCTTTCAGCTCAATTCCAAGGTAGGCTAAGAACACGGGCAATGGGAAACTCTAGCATCCCCAACGTAGTTCCACGCAGGATCTGCTAGGAGAGAAACCACTGGGCTTAGGAGCTTACCCAACATGCAGGAGAGAAAGGAGCACCTTGTAGATAGCCATGTCTGTCTGTTTCTCTGTTGTTTTTAATAAAGCAAAGCTGGAGTTAATTACCAAAAGAGTTAATATAAATTTAAGGGAACAGAGAGATGGCTCAGTAAAGGCACTTGGTGCTCTTGCAGAGGACCCAAGTTCAGTCCCCAGAGCTCACATCAGGCAGCTCACCACCTATAATTCTAGTTCCAGGGGATCCAAAGCCCTCTTCTGGCCTCCACTGGCACTGCATGCATACGCCACACATACAGGCAAACAAGCACACACATGTATACATAAAAACAAATAACCTTTTAAAAAAGATTTAATATAGCCAGGTATGGTGGCACATGCCTTTAATTCCAGCATTCAGGAGGCAGAGGCAGGTGAATCTCTGTGAGATGGAGCCCAACCTGATCTACAAATGAGTTCCAGACTACCTAGGGTTACAGAAAGACCCTGTCTTAAAAAAACAAAAATAAAAAACAAAAAGATTAGGGCTGGAGAGATGGCTCAAGGGTTAAGAGTACTGCCTGCTCCTGCAGAGGACAGGGGTTTGAATCCCAGTTCCCACATGGTGGCTAACAACTTTAGTTCCAGGGGATCCAATGCCCTCTTCTGACCTCCATGGGCATTGTACAACATGGATACACATACATGCAGGCAAAACACTAATACACATAAAATAAAAATATTTTATTTATTTTTACTTTATGTGTATGAGTGTTATGCTTGCATGTGTGTAAGGGCACCCGTGTTGTGCAATGCCCACAGAGGTCAAAAGAGGCTGTCGGATCCCCTGGGACTGGAGTTACGGACAGTTGTTAGCTGCCATGTGGGTGCTGGGATTCGAACCCGAGTCTTCTGCAAGAACAGTCAGTGTTCCTAACCATTAAGCCATCTCTCCAGCCCCTAAATAAAATATTTTTTTTAAAGATTTAATATAGATTTAAGCACAGGTATTGAAAAGAGATTTGTTTAATTTGCCTAAGCCTTATTTGCTAAGCAAGTTCATGAGCCACAGGAAGTGACTGTGCTCAGCAGAAGGGGACTTACTGCTGGGGTTTTAGAGGGTGTCCCAGTCTCTTTGGCTTCCCAGAAGAGTTTTGGCATCACTGGAGTATCAGCTCCAACCCTGTCCTCTACCTCACCATCTCCATCTCCATCTCCCATCAGATCCTATGTAAACAAAACATAATGAGTTTTCCAATGCAATGAAGTCTCACAAGCAACAGTTAATGAAGACCAGCAGTGTTGAAATGCATTTACTCTAAGGGTCCCCAAAACATTTCCACCCCACCTCATTTTGCTGTAATAAGATGTTATGGGAACCTCCTCCACCATAGGATGCGTGCCCACTTACTGTGAGGAGCTGGAGGACAGAGCAGACCTGTTTACCAGAACTGTCACTCCACCCTAGGGTCAAGTCCATCATCAGAACTTCATGTAGAAAATATCAGCACAAACTCCAATGACCCCAAACCCACAGACTTTATACTAGATATGACAGAGAAGATCTTTTTGCAAAAACCACCGAAGTTGCTTGGACAGTCCTTCCAAAGAACCCATCCTCTCCTCAGGACTTTTTCTTCCATCATGCCTGTCACTCCTACTGCACTGGTCGCTTCTAGACTTGAATCCAAATATTTCCATCCCCATAATCTGAGAGACACAGGAAAGAGGCTGACAAAGAAACAAATAGACACAATTTTTTTTAGGTTTAAGGAATAATTTATTGATTCAAGAATTTCATACAATGAATTTTAATTATATTCAGATCTCCTCACTCATCTCCACCCTCACCCTAACGTACCTACCCCCCATCCCTGACTTTGTGTCTTCTATTAGCAAATGGAAAATTCAGTCCATTGTATATAACACAACTGAGCTGGATGCCAGAGAAATCATATTTCATTAGACTGTCAGAGATCTACAATTTTTACACACAGGTAAGGGCCTACTTCCTTTTCTTTGTACACAGTTTTGGGTCAGAACACATCCAGGTTTCCTGGAATGGGATTTTTTTACTCTTAATTTCCATTTCTCTTACATACTGACTGCTTAGGAATGTCAAGTAGGGATTTCTCTTTTTCTCAGTGGTCAGAAACGCTTGGTTTTCCTCATAAAGTTAGTTGTTCATAGCCCTTGCATGCAGCACTTTGTTTCCAGGTCTCAGCACAATGACCCCACTGTGGACCAAGGCATTCTCCAACAGGTTGATTCCCCACTGGGTTTTACTGTGGGTAAAGGCAGAAGTTAGGTCCTTACAGAAGTCACAGGTCTCCAGTCCAAGATTCTCTGAGTGGCAGTTGGGAGGTTTCACAGCTTCACAAGACAGCTTTACACCATTGTTCTTTAGTTTATTTTCTGAAATCTGTCCACTTCTCAGATTCCTAATGCTGTTGAGGACTGCATCCAGGTCTTGCTAGCCACTGGGTAACAATAATGGTCAGCCAACCATGGGTGCCACTGGGGCGCATGGGCAGGCAGGCCATTTATTGTTTTTTGAGAGAGTCTCACTACAGAGCCCTTGCATGCCTAGAACTCACTATGTAGATCAGGCTGGTCTCAAACTCACAGAGATCCACCTGTCTCTGTTTCCTGAGTGCTGAGATAAAAGGAGTGTGCCAGCATGCCCAGTCTCAAATGCAGATCATTTTTGATGTGGAAACTGGTGTCAGATCCAGAGAAAGTTGGTGATGGCAGGAATATTTTCATGGCATACAGAATAACAAGGTCTTTTCTTTCCAGGTTCTCTAAGGCTGAATTTTCAATTTAAAAGAAGATTCACCCAGGTGTGGGGGCATACAACTTGAATCCCAGTGCTTGGAGGCAGGTGGATCTCCATGAGTTACATAGTAAGCCAGCCAGCGTTGCATAGAGAGACCCTGTCTCAAACAAGAAAAAAAAAGAAAGGAAGGAAAGAAGGAAGGAAGGAAGGAAGGAAGGAAGGAGAAAGAAAGAAAGAAAGAAAGAAAGAAAGAAAGAAAGAAAGA